CCCCCCCCCCCCCTCGATGACCACTTTTTGGTGTTGCAGTCAAGGCGACGCTGCTGGACCGCTTGACGAAGGAGCCAGTGGCTCACATCAGGAGAAAGCTGACCCACGCTATCGGGCAGCTCGCCGGAATCTCTTCCGCGACAGGCGAGGTAATGTACCTAACCACAAGCACAGGCGATTTTGTTCTTTTTTGCTTTTCTGCTTGGAGGGATTTTTTTTCTTATTTTTTGTTCGGGTTTTTTTTGCTCTCAGGGGGGAAATATCGATTGGTATGGTATGAAAATAGCACTTCTAGCTCTTCCTTGAACGCATCCACCTGTCACCGCGCATCACAACCACGCGGTCAAGGGGCTTGTGCAGCTTTTGGGGTTTCAAGGGAGCAGTAAACCATGCCGCTCGTGCTAGATTGGCATGCCAGCACTCCAGTACAAGACTGTACCATCCAACTAATGGCGGTGGAAATTCCAGTTCTTTTTTGACATGGCCGCCAGTGGCTGATATTGTCAAAGGTGAATCCCTCGCACTGACGACGAAAATATGACGGAAAAATTGTTGTTTTTGGTAACGGTTTCGTGGCGTAAGCGGTATGCACACGTCTACTAGTGGTCGAACGATAGATTCTTCCACGCCGACGCTTTTTTTTTTCGCTTGCTTGCCCCCCGCCCGCACTTAACGTGCCCCCTTTTCGTGCCCATGCACCATCTTACCGTCATTTGTGGTGGTAACGTTTGTGTTGTAGGGTATCGTCTCGGTGCAGTTGGGGACTGTGCTTCGGGATTGTTTCTTGTGTTGGCTGCATATCGACAACCACAACATGAACTAACGAACCAACAGCAATAACAACACGAAAAAGCACTACGTTAGGCACGACAAAACGCCCCCACAACCCACCAAAACGAAACAGTGGCCGGAGCTGATGGCGTTGACGGTAGCCCTCTGCGACGCGGCGCAGCAATCTCCGGAGATGAAGATCGTCGGTCTCGATCTGGTCAACATTCTCGCCGAGTTCTGCCCTGGAATGATGTCTCCCCACCAGGACGGCTTGCTCCAGGTATCCGGTTGGACCCTCGTCCAAGCTGGAATTTGCCCACCGCCTTGCAACCCCTTGCGTGCACTACCGAGGGGCCTACTTCAAGCTGCTGGCGTAGACCATTCGAAGAAGAAAAGAGACAAGCAAGGGTAGCAGCATTGGTCAACCAAACACGTGAAACTCAGCGTCTGAAAACGACGCTGTGGGATTGTTGAATACGGTATGTGTTAGGTGGAGATGTGGAGATAGATTTGTGCACCCAGGTATCTAAGTGTTTTGGAGAAAAGAGGAACAATCTGTGGGGGACGGGTCCGCTTGGAAGGGATGATTTGCTGTTGCTAACGCCAGGTGTGTGGGGGGGAGTTGCTGGGGCACGTATGTCAAACCCAGCTGGGCGGGGCGAACGTTGGTTGAACATTTCGCAACCCTCGCACGCAGTATTCTGTAGCCCTCGGACGTTTTGGGCTTGAGTGCGAATCTCGCCGCGAACTGAGTTTTGTTCTTCAACACAAATAGTGACGATTTACTCGTGTCTTCGAAAACGTCGGAGGTCACTCTTTTCTTTTTTTGAGGGTGAGGGATGGCTTAGTCCTTCTCGCGATGAAATTGAAGGCCAGGCCAGCATTGAAGAAGGAAGGTTTAGGGTTACAAAAAATGTAGGATGTTCCGCAAAAACTTGCTCTTGGAACACAGCCGGTCAGACCGAAGCATAAAGTAATTTGAGGAAACTGAGACCCAAAAGAATGGTAAGACGAACCTCACACTCACAGCAGCAGTGAATCCTCCCGTAAATTCAAAGGTGGTGTGTGCACGCAACCAAGCTACCCCCTCAACATATGTGTCTTGCGATGGGAGAACTTTCCTGCGAGATTGTTGCGTGTTCGACTGCTGTAAGTACTCGAGGCTTGCCGTTGACCCATCCTCCAACACCTCCGACCATGCCCCTTTTCGGCGTGCGGTGCTCCGCTCCCGTCCTATGGTGTGCATGCCCTGTGCTAATATACACTTGTTCGGTGGTGGTTCTGGCTGTTTCAGATGTTTGGGGCGAGTCTTGAAGACCCAACCATCGGTGTGAGAGTGGCCGCCTTGAAGGCAGCCTGCTCGTTCCTGCAAGACTCGTTATCAGGTGATTTTTTGCTCGACCGCATTTTTTTTGTCTGCCTTTGTTAGGGCCTCCATCTTGTTGTTGTTGGTGATGTGATGGTGATGGTGATGGTGATGGTGCTTGTGTTTTGCACGGTTTGTCGGCCGTCTCCCTCGCCAGGACTCGCTACCAGGTGCTTGGGTGACGATCATGTTTTATCCTTGGTCAGGGTCTCTACATGTTGTTGTTGTTGTTGTTGTTGTTGTTGTTGTTGTTGTTGTTGTTGTTGTTGTTGTTGTTGCTATCGCCGTCGTCCTTTCCGCGGTGCATGAACAAACCGCCCCGCAGCTAATCCCCTGGAGGCATCGTTGTGCACGTTTCTGATTTGAGAGGCGATTTCTCAACGAAGTGCCACGTTCTCTAGCGGTCGCGACGCTAATCGCTCTCCTCGGACCGACTCAACATGTTGACAGACCTAACGCGATCACCACGCCTTTTCATCGAACGACCCCCCCCCCCCCCCCCCCCCCCCCCCCCCCCCCCCCCCCCCCCCCCCCCCCCCCCCCCCCCCCCCCCCCCCCCCCCCNNNNCCCCGCCTTTTCATCGAACGCCCCCCCCCCCCCCCCTCCTTCCTTGCCTCTCGCATCCGTGTGCCCATGTGTCGGAAGGCCCATCAGCTGCGGTGGCACCTTCTCTGGTTCCGCGGATCATGTCCGTCGTTGAGGTGGGTGTCGATTTTTGTTTCGTTTTTCGGGCATGTTTTGTTGGAAACGTGAAACGAAACGAAACGAACGACGAAGCGAATAACGACGAAACGATGTGGAACGAAATCGAAAACGAATCAAAACACGACAAAAAATCGAAAACGAAACGAATCGCACCGCAGGCCACGGTCAACTCGGGGGACGAGGCCGCCGCCGGAGATGTGCTGGAGGCTCTTAACGTCATCGCCTCCAACCAGCCCTTGCTGCTGCTCGGCGAGAGCGGCGACCAGACCTTGGAGATGGTCAGCACGGCGATGCTGACCCTTGCGGGAAGCCCTACCCTCGAGGTATAATATTGCCATGTCTGCTGCACGTGTTCTGTAATATGAAGACCGGTCCGGAAAACTTTCCAAACAACTTCCGGGAACGTTCGCTCGCACACGAATCCACACCTTTCACAAGGACGCTCCTCGCCCCCACTTCGTTGGGCAACCAAGTGCCGAAACGGTAAACGGAGGAAAGAGAAAGAGAGCACGTTCTACGGCAGTTCATTCGTCAGGGGCGCCCCGGCTGCGTTGTGACCACCACCCGGGGCTTGAGGGGCAGCAGCGTCAGCCGACGTGCAGTGTTGCATTTCTCAACGCCGCGTGTTGCTACGGCACCGGTGTTTCTTCCCTCCCGCTTTTCTTCCCATCCCTTCGGTGGCCGCCAGGCCGCCATGCCATCGATAGCTTGCACGAGTGGCGATCCGGTCGCTCCGACCGCCACCGAGAACGCGGAGGACTACGCCATTGCCCACGTTGCGGTGGTGATCCACGTGCAGCGCGAGGCGGCGATGCCCGTGTCCTGGACACCGATCGCGTGGGGGTCTATCCCGGGCCGAGGTCGTGCGCGCAGACGAAAAATATGTCAAGTGTGACGGCCGTTCTCCAACCCGTGCTTGACAGTCACGATTACGAGCCGAATCCAAGTCGCTTCCTCGAACTGTGGTCGTTGGCGCGCAACGAGGGCGGTAGCGGCGCCGATATCCTCGCGCGAGCCAAGCGTGCCATGCTGTCAAGCACGGGTTGGAGAACGGCCGTCACACTTGACATATTTTTCGTCTGCGCGCACGACCTCGGCCCGGGATAGACCCCCACGCGATCGATGCCCGGTCTGAGGTTGGCGGTATGCAGGGTTGTTAGCGTCTGTATGACGGACTGCTCTTTTCGGTCTGCTACCTGTCTTTATTTGCGTCAAAAAGCACTAGTTGGCGCTTGAGACGGGCTGCCCTTCTCGAGCCGTTTTCCGATAAACAGCACCTGTTGGCACCTTAGACCAACGGCCCTTTTCGAGCCGTTGTCTCTCATGAATCTCTCTGCCCGAGAGATCCACGCCAAAACAAGTTTTGTCTGTCTGTGTTTTCTAGACTTCCACCCGGGAGCTGTCGCTTGAAGTCTTCACGGGACTGTGCGAGTGCGCTCCGTCGGTCCTGCGGGAGCGAGGGGCGACCGTGGTGAACGTTGCGGTGCCGCTGACGATCAACATGCTTGCACAGCCTCCTCAAGGTACGTGTGGGCTTACCTGTTTTTGTTGTTTTGGGTGTGCGTCGCGTTGGCTGACTGTGTGTCTTGGTTCTCGTGCTGGGGGGGGGGCGTGTGTACTGTTTGCGCCCGCACGTGGGAATTTGGCAGTAAATAAATGGAGCCTCGACAAACTCGCAATCAGAGAAGTATGAGCACGGTTGATCGTGAGCTCGCTTCACAAGCCCCACCCGTAAACCTATATAGCGGCCGTTCGTAGCGCAAGCCTTAGAACTAAGAACCCCCTGCCTCAGCCAACACTACAGGTACCTGTAGAGGTTCTTATGTGCGGGCGCCGGTGATGAAGCCATTATGCCGTTGCGAAGGGTGTCGCTAAACACAATTCCTGCTAAGGGTGCCAAAAAAACAAGCCTATTTACTTCTGTCCACGCGACCTTTTGTTCGGTTGTTTCTGTTGTGCGTAGTTGTTTTTCTTTTGTGCCCGGAGGATGACGGTTTCCCGTTCCTGTCGTTGCTGTCGTCCCGTCCATGGCCTCGTTAGGGGGCGAAGTGTTTTGAATATAACCATTCTTACCACCAAAGTTACATCTGGCGGTAAATGACGTGCTTGTGCGTTTCTGGTGCCCAGGTCGGCAAATCCAACCGGCCAGGGGAATACCCAACGGTCGCCTCTTGACATCCAACAGTCATCTTATATCCAACGGTCACATCTGGCACCGGACGGTCATCTACGAAACAACAGCAGTCGTGCGATGTCCAACCATCAGTTTCGAACCGTCTTCGGACACCCAACGGTCACCTACAAAACGGTCCCACGATACATCCAACCATCATTTTCGAACCGTCGCTGGACACCCAACGGTCATATGCCCGCCTATTTACCAGATTTCGACGACGAAGAGGAGCTAGGGTCGTGGTTGTCGATGTCTGGCGGCAGCGGGAGGGGAGACGACGACGCGGACGCAGAAGGGGGCGAGCTGAGCATGATCGCGGCGAGCGCCCTCAGCAGGTCCACAACAGCTCAGCTGGCGGCGTTTTTTGGTTTTCCTGCCCTGCTGATGTTGTCGGTGTTTGGAGGTCTCGTAAATCTCCTGGGCCGCACGGGCGACCCCCTCTCCCTTTTGTTCTGGACTGCATACGGTCGTCGTCCCTGATGTGGAGACGCGCGTGTTTTTCGTTTGTGTTGATGGCATCTCTGTTGAGGGGAAAGGTCTTTGAAAGGTTGCTGCGTTTTCGATACCACGTGGCAGCCCCCCGCCCCTACACGTTTCAAACGCGCCATTGCTCTGAAAGCATTCTCTTGTTATCGACGCCCGGGAGTTGTTAGACTCCACCCGAGCGTGTTTTCCGCGGTGATGACGCCTGCTCTACCGACAACGAATCCCCGCCCCCCTTCCCCCGCTGCAACAGCAAGCGCGAAAAGATGATGCCAGCTCCTGGTTCATCCTTGTGAAACGTAGCCTGGGCCGGCGAAAACCCAGCATTTCGCTCCGTCCCGGCATGTAGGGATGCGAAGTTAATGACCTAACGACTACGGCATGGGCTTACACCCCCCTTTCCCCGCGCTGTTGGTTGCCGGCAGGATGGCGGTGGCCTTGGGAGGCAAAGCTGTCCTCTCGTCGGCCATGCCCGTGTGCTCCGAGTTGCTGGGGGACGCGACGAACTGGCGTCGCCGGAAGGCGGGGTTGCTGACGCTTCTACTGATCGGCGAGGTAACGCCAACCCTAACCCTAACAATAACCCTGAAACCCTGAGGTAGGGGTGATCTTGCTGGAAACATCGATGGATGCATGGCCAAGAGGTATCATTCATGTGACGTGGCTTCATGCAGCCCCCTTGTCCATCGGAAGGCCTGGCTAGCCTTGATGCAACGGTCTCCGTGTTTGCCTGTTGGGTGCCATTGCGGTTCGACGATTCAAGCTGGGGTACGGTGCCACGCAGCAGTACCGTACGGCGTGGTCCGCCAATGGTGACGCTACAACAGTAGTGGCCCCTGTGTGGGACGCGGTCGCTGTATGTATGCTTGGCACTTTGTACCAGACCGGTGAAGTCGTGTGACACATGATGAAATTTTCCATGTTGTCTCATGATTTTTTAATATGCCCGCGTGAAGACGTTCGGGGTTTGAACCTTAAAAGACGCTTAGAGAATGCGACACGCTCACTGTCCAACAAGATTCTCTGAAGCCCCTTTGTTTTGGGCGTTGGACAGCTTCCGTTTCCTCCCCGATTTTTTGTCGGGCTACAGATGATTGCAGCCGCATTTCTCTGAGGAGAGTTTTGACTTGAATTGGGTGCGGTTCAATAAGAACACGCGCATAACAATGCGGCACGTGATTCTCTCCTTAGGGACAACAATAAGAGCATTGAACTAGGTTCACGCAAACGTTTTATGTCGGCAGGGGTGCGGCGAAGACCTTGCGGAGAGCGGCCTCCTCCCGGGAATCGTTCTCGGCCCCGTTCTTGCGGGGATGCAAGACGAACATCCCCGGGTGCGCTACGCCGCCCTCAGCTGCGTCGGACAGATGACCCAGGACTTCGGCGATTGGGACGGCGGCGGCGAGGAGGAGGAGGGAGGAGGAGGATCGTTCCAGGGAGCGTTCCACGCCCAGG